CTCGGGTCCCTGCCACCAAGGTTGGAACCACCATGGAGTTCCAGGCTCCTGATTTCAGCCTGGCTCAGCTTTGGCTGTTCTGGAAATTTGGCAGGTGAGCCAGCCCATGGAGGATTTCTCTCTCTCTCTCTGTCTCTGTCTCTCTCTGTCTCTCCCACTTTCTTTCTCTCTCTCCCCTTGTGCCTTTCAAGTAAAATGAAAGCAAGTAATTGGAAAATAATACTATTACCGAACAGGAAAGTTGTGATGTGCTGGTGGTGCAAGGATTCCAGACTTCTATTTTATGAAAACAGGGAGGTCTCCTCTGTCACTGGGAGAATGCACACGACACCACTGACAGCCATGACCTTTGACAGGAAATCTTCAGTTCCACCTTGTGCGTCCCAGTGCCTGCTGCGGAGCCTTGGAGATGCATTACATGAAAAAAATAAGGTTAACAAAGCTCTGCGAAGTGATGAGATTCCGGGCCATTTTGATCTTCTTTATGCTTTCCTTAGTTCAAATGTTTTTAAAGGGGAAAGTCACAAGACTTTCTGGAATTGCTTAGCCCCAATGGTTCTGAAAGACAGACAATGGCGTGCATGTTTAAAGGGTCCGTTCTGGAAGTTTCTCTTGGAACCATACAAAGATTCCTGTTGAGGCAGAATGAGGCCCTCGACGTCTGGTGACAGAATCTGAGAGCAGTGATAAAAGAACCAGGCGAAAAGCCAGGGGGCCTCCAGAATTCCTATCCAGCTATCTCTCTGCTCCCTGCAGGGCAGCACAGAAACCCAGCCATACGGGGTTAACCCATATACTATGTTTCACCGAACAGGGGTGGAGGAGGGGGTGGTGAGGGTTGAAGGGGCCCAGCCCAGCCCAGCCCAACCCCAACCCCAGCAGCCTTAACAAGATGCAGGTGTTTGTGCAGTTGCTTGGGAGAGGAGGAAGGTGGAGAGCAGAGTGGGGCAGAGGAAAGAGTGCCTGCTGTCATGAGCAAGCATTTTTGCAAGACAGCCGCCTTTGGGGTGAAGAGGAATGCAGCTGTTTCTGGCCCAGACCCACCCTGTGTGGCTGTCCTTGAGTATGCATGTGTGTGTGTGTGTATGTGTGTGAGAGAGAGAGAGAGAATTCTGTGTACTCACACACACACCCTTTGCTACCACAGATCTTTGCCCAGCAACACCAGTAAAGGCCAACTTCATGTTGTTGAAGGCGTTGCCTCTGCTTCCTGTCTTCTCTGTCCTGCCTCCATCTCTCCGGACCCAATGCCCTGCACCCATGTCTTTCTAGGACCAGTCCCAACTTCTGGGGTCTTGGCTGTCAGTGTCTCCCAGTGTGCCTGTTCCCCTCCACCGCCTCCCCACTCTTTTCTTAATCCCCCTGGGCTCTTTCCAAGTATACACTTCGTTGCCTTCCTCTCATGGTCCCTTCCCCGGTCTGCCCTGGGCATCGTGAGACCCTGAGGCTCTATCGCCATGCCCAGCTCCTGTCGCTGAAACTCTATGGAAATGGAACTATCTCTGAAGGAGTTGGGACAAGGCAAGGGAGTGTCTCCCTTTGGCTGCCCCAGGGACAACAAGGCAGGCGACAGAGAGGGGGCCCGCAGCTCAGTGTCCCTCCTCTTCAACATCCCCAGGAAGATGAGCTGGGCAGGGAGCCAAGGAGGGAACAAAAGAGCTGAGAGGTTTCCAACAGCTAGCCAAGCACCCCTACCCCACCCCCAGCATGCTAATTCAGCACACACCTCTCTTCCCACAATGCACCTGAGTCCAGCAAATCACCATGACCTCCGCATGGAGACGCCAGGGGTACCTTCCCAGAGGTCATCACCGCGCGAAACCCCACACAGCTTCTACTCTGGATCTGCAGCTAGGGCACAATAAAAGGGACAGCTCAACTGAAGGATCACTCTCTCACTTTCTCCTAGGGCCAGCATCTCTCCTCGTGGGGCTGAACGTGTAAACAAACCCTGCTCCCTTTCCTATACCATACCTGTGTCTCTACCTCGAATTCTTATCTCATGCAGGGGCAGGAACCCAGAATCCACAGCCAGGGACCCAGAAGACAAGGTGGTGTGAGGAAGTCACAGACAGGCCCTGCCTTCTTGGGGACGAGGGGGTTGCACTTGTTTGCCCAAATGAAAGAGGTTTAGAGTGAGTGGTTTCCATGATGCGTTTAATTTGACACCTGCTAAGGAATCTGATTGCAAGTAAAGTCTTCGGATGGAGGAAATCTGCTAGAACATGTTGGACCCCCAGAGCCCACCTGCTGGGCCCAGGTGCAAGAGGAAGAATCTCCAGGTAGAAGTGGGATCCTGGTTCCCTCGATGTAGGATGGCGGAGAGAGATCAGAACAGTCGCCTCTGCACTGACTCTTGGGTTGGAGACTGTGAAAGAAACCCCAGCTCCTGGAGCAAATGCCAGCCCACCCGCATGACAACTGTGTACCCCAAAATTCAGCACCCCGAGGCTGGCAGGGAGGCAAGGGCTGGCAGCAGCTCGTTTGCTACCACCCTCTGCACTCCACCACCTGCTTCCTCAGGCCTACTCCCCACAAAAATAGAGGTGCACAGGCAGCACCCCAACTTATTCCCTCCACCACCATCATGCATTCCGGCCCACAGCCTCAAACCAGCCCAAGGGCAGCTGTAAGGGAAAAGAGAAAGTACTGGGTGCCCTGTTTGGAAGCTCCATGGAATTTCCCTGCAGTGGTAGGTGGCTGTGGCTGCTGACCCCACAGCGGAATCAGAGCATCCTGCTGCTCCATGCCAAGATGCAGGCCGGTCGCTGTCCACAGCCGAAAGCACCCTGCAAATCTTGCAGTGTCTCCCCTCCCCCTTCACACAGAGGGTCCTTGGGACCCCCTGCGTGCCACGTCAGACTCCAGCTGGGTATCCTCCCTGTCTTCTGAAAACCACATGGCGCCCCCACAAGCATTCTTGTTCCAGCCCACCCTGAGACACAAGCCTGCCTGACAAGCACATGTTGGTAAGGAAAAGCCAGAGCCTGGGCGGCTGGCGGTAACACACAAGCCACGCGGCCCTGGCCCGGAGAAGGGGGCCACAGCCCCCAGACCTCTGACAGCACAGGCCGCCGCGTGAATGGGGCTCACCATCCAATGTTCAGCTCCTTTCAGGAAATTACCAAGTTAGTCCTTGGCTTTTTCCTTTCCAGCGCCCCTCCCCGTTTCCATAGCAACCGCCTCCCCATCCTCTGGAGCCTCTCCCAGGTCCCGCCCATCCCTGCCGCCCTAGGCCTCTCAACTGTCTGGGTGGGAATCAGGATTAGAGTTCAACGTGGGCCCGGCCGGGGTGGGGGAGAGGATTGGAGGAGGGTAGGGCAGGGGGCTGCTTTTCTCAGCCCCGCTCTGCCTCCAGGATCCCTCTGTGGCTGTAGAGCCCCCACCCCAGGCTTTTCAAGTTTCCTCCCCACCCACCACCCAAGCCCGGAGTTAATGACCGGCCCTGGGTTTCCTCTTCTTCCCTTTCTCGGCCTCCAATAAAGCGGGAGAATTAACCCAGGTCTTAAGTGCTGCAGAGTTCCAAGCTGCATATCAAAGGGGCCTTCCCAAGCCGCTTCTGCATTTCAAAGAGGCTGATCTATGGCTTTCACTTTAACCGGCACGTTTTGGGGGGTGGGGAATGAGTTTTATCCAGAGGTCAAACTCTGGAAAAACAAATGGGTCCCCCTTTACCCCCTCCTGGGGAGTAGCAGCAGGCCCTTAAAATATAAACCCCGGTGGGGGTGAGGCTAGCTACAGCCTGGCCCCACGTCCCTGTCCCCCCCCCCCCCGCACCCCCCTCAGCCCGTGGGAACCACAGGGGCAAAAACTGTCTTTCCTGAGCCTGCGGGCCTCTGTCCACCAGGCATGGCACTGGCCGGGTCTCACGGCTGCTTTCTCTCCGCTGAGCCCCTTCTGCAAGTCCCGCCTGTGCACTTGGTGGAGTGGTCCCCGCGGGGACCTGGGGGCATGGCACTGCTGGCATGGTCTGTGCCCCTGCCTCCCTTTGTTCCCCAACTGTCACTGCGGGGCCTGGCTGACACTGAGTGTTCAACAGGCCCTGCAGTGGCCATTGGCTCCTAACCTCTCACTGCGAAATCTTGCCCCGCCTTCTCACTCACAGGCAGCACTTTCCTCTTCCTGCAGCCAGCTTCAACCTTCATTTATTCGATCCCACACTCATTCACTCCCAGGGCCATATGTGTCTGGGAAATTAGGTAATAGGGCCAGCAATTGGTTACAGGGCAATGAGATAAATGCTGTCTCCCGCAGAACCTTGAAGTGCAGGCTGACTCTGTCCCTGGGGCTCCCGGAACTTCCGATGCAGGGATTGGATGAGCAGGAGCTTCACAGAGGGGCAAGCCTACGCCAGGCAGCAGGAGGAGCAGGTGTGTAGATACTGCGGCACCTGAGCCCATTGTAGGTGGTGGTATTAGGTAAGATTCATGGCTCCAACACCCAGAATGTGGAGGGAGGTGTTGGAAATGAGGCTGGAAGGGAGGACCAGCAAGGGTGTGCATCCACCCTTTATGCCTTCCAAGTTCAAAGTCTCATACAAGGTGCCCAGATGGGAAAGTCAGTGGCCATGTCTGTCTGGGTCTTCTAGATTAGCCCCTGGGATTTTTCTCCAAGAAAGGCTGGCAATGGTACTACTGAAGTGAGGGACACAGGCAAAGCTTAGGACAGCTACACAGGGTCTGGCCACGTTGGCAGACTTAAGAAGTGGAAAGATAGTATATATGACAAGGCCAGCAGCGTCACAGTCTGAGAGCAAGTCTGTGCTGGGCATCCCACTGGCCCCCAAACTGACTCTGAAACTTTATAGAAGGAATTCCCTTGGTGGAGTTGAATTGGGATCTCCATACCTTTTGCAGTGCCGATGTTTTGTGATGTCACAGCCGCTGCCCCTAAGCAGGGAAGTTCACTGGTGACTCAGACGGCTGCAGCGTAACCCTGAACTTTTCCACCCCACTCAACCGTTGGCAAATCCTCTGTAGCAGGTGCAGTCACCATCTCCCATGTGGACCTGCACAGTTCACCATAGTTACCTCCAGGGCTTGACTCCCATCCCCCGGCTCACCTCCTCACTGCTTTTGATGGCCAAGGTTGAGACAGGCAGAAGCTGGGAGTCAGGAGCAGAACTGAACCGGGTCTCCCATATAAGTGGCAAAGACCCAGCGGCTTGAGCTGCCGTCCAGGGTACCCATCAGCAGGAAGCCAGAGCTGGGGATAGAACCCAGGCACTTGAATGAGGGAAGTGGGAGACTTGAGGACTGTCTTAACCACTAGGCCCAACACTTTTAACTCCAGGTCACGCTTGAGACAGCTGCAAGGCTGGTCTTGCCCAAGTTTGGCTTCATCTAAATGTTCATTTCTTGGTTTAGTTTTATCTTCTTTCTAGCCCACGGGAGGAGGAGGAAGAGCAGTGAAGATGGGGAAAGTGAATCTAGCCTTGCTCAAGGACCCTGTTTTGTGTCCTTCCCCCTCCAAACACCATGGGCTTCCATGGAAACACTGCCACAGTCTCTCGCCCCCCACATACTGCCCGTCCCCTCGTTGTTGCCCCACAGTGTCATCTCTAACTGGGACATTTCTCTGTCTGGTCTCGGCCCCACCCCCCAGGCAAATCTCCAGGACTTTGGCCTGGACTCAGCACAGGGCCGGGTGCTTGGGGTAATCTGGATTTGACTAACTGCAAGGCAGAGGGTGAGCTTGAAGGCCTGCAGACTGAGTCAGCCCCTGACCTGTGCACTGTCACTGCGCTCCAGTGTCACAGCTGTGTTATTCATGAATTTATCAGGACTCAGGGAACCTGAGAATGGAATGGCTCAATTCTTGCTGCGGGCTCAACATCCAGTACTCACCTTTACTCTCTGCCTGGAAGAGAGAGTATGAGGGTCAGGGAAGTGGCTGCCTCCTCCAAGTACTTCCTGGAGTCTTCTGGCCACCCCAAACAGTGTCTTCTGCATGTCACCTTTTGGATCAACGTCTCCTGGAAAAGCAGTCATGAAGGAAAGTTAGGGTCCCTGAGGGAGCCAGGCCGCAGCTGTACACCCACCCAGCCCTTCCCACGGTCCTCAGCAGGTGCCTCTAAGCCCCAGCCGGCTTTTGTGACCTAGCCCAAAGTTGGCCTTGTCTTATTTCTTTTGTTTTGTTTTGTTTTTTTTAAGATTTATTAATTTTTATTGCAAAGTCAAATATACTTAGAAGAGGAGAGACAGAGAGGAAGACCTTCCGTCTGATGATTCATTCCCCAAGTGGCCGCAAAGGCTGGAGTTGAGCCAATCTGAAGCCAGGAGCCCAGAGCCTCTTCTAGGTCTGCTACGTGGGTACAGGGTCCCAAGGCTTTGGGCCGTCCTCCACCGCTTTCCCAGGCTGCAAGGAGGGAGCTGGATGGGAAGTGGGGCTGCCGAGGATTAGAACCGACGTCCACATGGGATCCTGGTACATTCAAGACAAGGATTTTAGCCACTAAGCTACCCTGCCAGGCCTTTCCATTTCTTCTTAGGCTGATCAAATGGAGGACCCACCAAACCAGAGCTGGAATTGGGTGATTGCTTTCCTTCCCATGAGACAAAGGAGGACTTGGCAAGATGTGATCAGACAGCGCTATGCCTGCAAGCATAGATTTGGATTCCCTGAGGCTGGGAGTCAAGTTCCCCCATCCTGCCATATGCCTAACCAGCAGGTGGCTCAACCTCTGCCAACCTGTTTCCCGATTTTCTAAAATGCCACCAGACTGACCACCTGCCCTTGCTGAGCTCAGCCTCTTGCTGAGCTTCTGCAGCCCTGAGGTACAGTCCCTTTGGACAGAGGTCCACCCAGGTCCAAGGACACTGCTGGTTATACTCTAGTGCAGAGGGGGAGCCCCAAGCAAAGTGAAGGATCTGAACACGAGAAGTGTTGTGATGCAGAGGGATAAGCAGAGGCGTGGGGACAAACAGGGACCCTCAGGAAAGGACGGTGTCACCTCCCTCGGGGGACACTGCTACTGCAGAGAACAAAGGAGAGAGCAGGACCCAAGCCTGATGTGCCCAGTTTCCTCCCAGCACTCTGAACTCTGCCCAGGGCAAAGCTCTCTAGGAGCAAAGAAGCAGAAGGAGGAATGCCTGCCCCCGCTCCAACCTGAATCAGCCCTTGGCTTGGGAGGGACTTCCTCCATCTTGGCTTCAAGGGTCCTGACTCCTGGTTCCTTGGGCCCCCTCTTCCTGCAACCCCCTGCCCCTTACCCCAGGCAGAGCTGAGGAGGGCCATATAGGTCGGACCTTGTTGTCACCAGGCTGCGTGGAGAAGTGGCTGGCTGGCCGGTGCTGTCCCACAACCTCAGGGAGAAAGAGAACATTCTTTCGAGTCCATTCAACGACTCAGCTATTTCCTGCCCTTCTCCAGCACCCCACATGCTCCACCTGCTCCTACTTAACCATTTCCTGTTTACTGCCAGCCTCCCGCGGGCGACCTGCAATCAGCAGTCTGGCAAGAGCACCCGGGATGGACGCAGATGAGGGGGGTTGGCTGGCCTGCCGAGGGACCTGCTCCTTTCCAGGCAGCGTCCACAGCTCTGGGATAGGATGTGCTGGCCAGGTCTTTCCGCAGAGCTGGGCCTCTGCATGGGGAGGGAAAGAGGACCATTCCCAGGCCAGGCTCATTAGTTAGTTAGTTAGTCACTCCTGCCTGGGGGTGCTCTCCCGTGGCCTCTGTGGAGCTAGAAGGCCCTTGTCTTCTGTTCACTTCTCTCCTGGCGCCCTCTCCCCATACCTGTGTCATTCAGGCATGCAATTTGCTGCTTCTTGGTGATGCCAGCTTCCCACAGGAGGGGGTCACTGGGGACTCGAATATGGGGGTTCTGGCACCTGGCTCTGACATTAACACTGCTGCTTCGTAGTTCTGTGATCTGGGCAAGTTGCTTACAATCCTTGCCTCTTGTTTTCACCCAAGGAGAGGTACTGCTGCTTATCTAGTATGGCTCTCATGACGAGATCACATAATTACGTGGACGTTCCTGGTACAAAGTAGGTGATGGAGTGTACATTTATCACAATGGTTGAGCGATGCGGCTTGGGATGCCTGTATCTTGTAACAGGATGAGCATCTGACCCAGCTTACTGCTGATATTCCTGGGATGTAGAAGGTGATGACTTAAATACTGTTGGATCCATGCTACCTCTGTGAGTAGGCAGGATGGAGTTCACAGCCCCGTCCAGCCCCTGCAGGTTGCAGGCATTTGGGGAGTGAATCAGCAGATGCAAGGTCTCTGTCTGTCTCTGTTCCTCTATCTTTCAAATTAATACAAAATAAAGAAACATGGAACCTGCATTGTGGCGTAGCAAGGTAAGCCACCACCTATGATACTGGCATCCCGGTATGGGAAATGGCTTGTGTCCCAAGGTCCGATTTGACTCTGCTAACTGCTAATGTGCCTGGGGAAGCATTAAAAGATGGCCCAGGACCTATCCCAGGCTCCTGAATTTAGTCTGGCCCAGCTCTGGTCATGGCAGACATTAGTCATGTCTCTCTGTCTTTAAATAAATAAGAATGCTACCATTTGGGAAGTGAAGTAGAAGATGGAAGGTATGTGTGCGTGTGACTCTGCCTTTCAAGCAAAGTAAACCTTTAAGAAGAGTCAGCACTGGGCCATAGAGCAGTCAGCATGCAGAGACATCCCGGAGGCATATGGGGGGCGGGGGGCAAGGATGAGGCCAAGGAGTGACCATCAGGTGGTGGCAAATGGTCCCTGAGCTGGGCACTTCGCACTTGGTGGGTAACCCACCCCTGGGGAGGTCACTGGGAGCTGTTGTGGAGTTCAACACCCTATCAGAAACCCCAGAACGGCCAGGCCCAGGTTAGACCTCCAGTCTCCAGGGGGCCCAGGCTTGGTCGGGGAGGTGTCTAAAAGCCTCTCCTGGGGCCAGGGGCTGAGGCCTCAAGTTCCCAACTTCATGCTGAGTGTTCTCTCTCCCACAGTGAGATGGAAGACAGCCCCAAGGAGCATGTCTTCACAGCAGGCTTTACAGGGGAGGTGACTTAGGAGCCAGTTTTGTCAGGAGAAGAGTTCTCCAGGCAGAGAAGCAAAGGGGCATGGGCATGGGCAAGCTGTGCCCGAGACCTGGAAAGGACAGCAACTGTGGACCACTGGTGCCAGACCCTGGCGGGGCAGCGCCACAGTCCTGGGGCCACGGGAATGGGGGAAGGGGGTTTTTAAGGGGGAAGTGGTTGCTGGTTTTATAAAAGGATGGGGCAGTTTGCACATGTCCCCTACTCAAGATGACTTCAGGTTAAGGTAAGCATGGGCTACTGGGAGTAGACAGCCATTGCTACAGCAACAATACACCACAACCCAAGCCAACCTTGGCCTTGGTCAATTCTATACAGACACCGAGGTCCCCCTTGTCTCCCCCCAGGGTCCCAGAGTGGCTTGTGTCAGAAGAATGCAACTGTAGCCTTGACATGGGACCTGAATACCTCAGCCTTCATACATCAGCCCCCTGGTAGGCTGCTGCTCTCCCTCTATGCAGTGCCCTGACCCACCGGGCCACATCTTTTCTCTAATCCCTTCTGGAAAGATTGCTTGACTGTGCACCCAGCCTTCAGTCACCCCAGGGTGGGACAAAGATGACACAAGCGCCATGGGCCCTGGGCCCAGCCCTGGTTGGAGGAGACGCCTCCTCTGCCCCCGCCCCTCCCATTCAATCTCAAGAAAGAGCTGCAACTCTTTCCATTTCTAACCTGTCTGGGCCTAGCCTTTCTTGCTCAGGTGTCTGCTGGGAAGAGCCAGAATGGCTGAGTGGGCTTTTCAGGATTGGCATGATGCCAGGGACAGACAAGTCACACAGCAGGTGTGGCTGTACTACCCAGATACTTTCCTTATGGATCCACAGGACCTTGTACCACAAGTAAGGATGGTCTCAGCTGTGCACAGACAGCAGAGGAAGGGTCCTGCACCACACTGGCAGTAGCCGTGGCAATAGAATGGGGGTTAGCGCCAAGGAAGCAAAACAGCAGGATTCAAAGGCTAACATGGCATCTCTGACCAATAGCAGTTGAAATTAAAAACAGGAGTTCATTGTAATTCTGATTCAGCTTCCTGCTAATGTGACTAGCAAAGCAGCAGAAGATGGCTCAAGTCCTCAAACCTTTATACCTACATGGGAGACCTGAATGAAGTCCTGGCTCCTAAGTTCTGAACAGCCAGCTCTCGTGTTGCAGCCATTGGGGAAGTAAACCAGGGGATGAAATCTCTCTCTCTCTCTCTCTCTCTGTCTCTCCCTCTCTCTTTGTCTCACTTTCTCTCTAAGTCTGCCTTTTAAAGAAAATTAAATAAATCCTTAAAAAAAAAAAAAAAACCTTTGGGAGCCAACATGATGGCTCAACAAGCTAATCCTCCGACTGTAAGTGCTGGCATCCCATATGAGTGCTGGCTTGTGTCCTGGCTGCTCTACTTCCAATCTAGTTCCTGGCTTGTGGCAGGTGAGAAAGGCCCAAAGCCTTGGGTCTCTGTTTCCATGTGTACAATCTGGAAGAAGTTCCTGGCTCCTGGCTTCAGACTGACCCAGCTCTGGCTATTGAGGCCATTGGAGGAGTAAGCCACCTAAGAGACTGCTGCTTCTTTTCTACTCCATGTTTGTTTTGAGTGTCCATCCTTCAGGCTGCAACAGCAGCAGACAAGGCCTTAAGCAATAAAACACAGCCTGCTGCTGGTCTACCCAGGGAAGCAGGTGCTCTGCAACCAGGTTGTGTGGTTTCGAAGTGCACGTCAGCCTCAGATACTTCAAGCAAGCATTTCACATCTCTCTCCCAATTCCCTATCCCCAAGTCAGTGACAATAATAGCAACCTCCTTTATGGGACTGTGACGAGAATGAAATGAGCAATGTAGAAAGCAGAGGCTGCAGCGACTCTGGTGTAGAAGCTGGCATCAGTGCTGGTGATGTAAGCCTGGTGGTACCTGCTGCCATTGACACAGGCTCCTTCTGAAGGTCCTTTCATGGACCATTCA